TCTAAGCTCTGTTCTATTTTGTTTATTTCTAGTCTAATTTCTCTTTTATACAGTAATTCCTCCTCTGGTTTTCTATGCTCTAACACCTGACTTCCGGTTTTTATTTTATATCTGTAACTCACTAATATTGTTACTTCATTTTTACTAGCTTCAGCTCTGCCTTAACTCTGTCTATCCTGGTCCCAGTCTACCAACTCTCTCCTTATTCCTTCAGCTTTCTTGTTTCCAACTCTTCTTCTTTTCCTTCAACTTTTTCTTCTATTTTCTGAGGCTTTGAAATGCAGCCCCACTCCTTTGATATGTTCTGCATGTCTACCAACCCAACTACTTAGTCCCCTGCTGAAGGACCTACATTTCTCTTAAAGAGAACAGCTCTCTTTAAAAAGAGTCAGGGAAAGGAAAAAGGAACAGATGCTTTTGCCTCCATGGCCATCCCCTCACAATCCCCATAATATCCTAGTATCCTTACATATTGTTTTTAAAAATAGAATAGCTGATCAAGTCCTGCTTCATTTTCCACTGTGAAATCTGAAGACTTTGGTGACAGAATTGTCATCTGGTTATGTCTTGCAGGTAGACATCCTGATGTCAGGGGTCCATATGCTCGTAATAATTGCATCATCAAAACATGGTGGCAAAATAGCCAAACTTCCTCAGGATGATTCATTCCCACCCTTCCATTCCCACATGTACGTACAATTGAGAGACAGCCAATGTCCAGGCTGACTTTGGTTCATTGATAGGGGGCATTTTAAGGATGAATATGGGAGCAGGAAATGTCTGGAACTAAAAAGTGGTTTGAAGAAAGCTTATGATTCCTGAAGATGACACGCCAGTAATTTTGTATTTGGGCATTTTTCTCAATAGCTGTGCCCATTGCATCCAGTTGCTGTGCTGGGTAGACTGGGTGTGTGGCGTCAGGGAAGATAAGTTCAAATTGAACAAAAAAGGGGAGGGGGAGGCATATAAATTACATCTAAGATGGACCCCTAGGTGTCATAAGAACTGCCAATACTGTATGTTTTCCTGGTTTCTCATTCTCTCTCATACAGATGTTTTTCTCTTCCTGCTTTTGCTTGTTAGGAGTATTCAGGGCAATTAAAGCTTCCAAGCATTACTGGGTAAAATGAATTTTACAGTTGCAGAGGTGCATTTACCTGAAACAAAAGAGGTCCTGAATTTAAGTCTCTCTGTCCCAAGATGAAGAATAAAATACAAACAAAAGCAATCAGTGATAGAGCTGTGCAGCACTTTGGATTTGAAGGCAAAAACGTGTGTGCTTAGGACTGCATGGGGATACCAACAGAGCATCTGTCTGCAGTCCCATTTCATGAGCCAATGCAGCTGTTATTCTACAGTGTGATCCCAAGAAAAGACACATTTGTGTTAAGGAATTGCAGACAGAAGCTGTGTACCTGTCACTGTGTTCCCCAAAGCACCTTTTGGTTTTTTTAATCTGAAGCCATTCCCAGTCTTAAGGTTCAGCTTCTCAACTTAGTCAAAGCTCTTGACTGCAGCTAAATCCCAATAAATTCTCCATGTGACACATGTGTGTGTGTGTGTGTATGGATGGATGTACTGTTTTCTTATTCTGAATCTGCAAACAGCCACAAAGACACAATGCATTTGGGATAAGAAGGGAGGAAGCAAAACTTGATGGAAATGAGATAAGAGAGAGATGTAATTAAGAAGAGAGAAGGAAGATGTTAGAAAAAGGTGCAAATTAACCAGGCAGGCAGCCCAAGAAGCAACTGAAGAACTAGACAGCACCCCTGTCTGTCTTTCTTGGCACCTCATGGTAATGCCTTGGTTTTCAAGAGCTTTTTGTATTCTCATCAACTAATGTACAGAGACTCCTGACTCAGAGGTAATTATGCAGAGGGGAACCCCGTCACTTTTTTGGATAAATAAAGTCATTTATATTAACATGGCTTACTAGAGGAATAGGTTGTTCATGTTACTAGGGCTGTGAAAGGAGCATCTCCTTTGAGTTTTTTGAAGGACCTGGTCAGCTAATGACTGAAAAGAATTTTTAAAGCTACCCAATAGTTCTGAACCAGCAAAAGGTTAGCTCTAGTGTTGTGGGTCAAGTGAAAATGGTTCTTTATAGTCAAGTGAAAATAGTTCTTTAAAAAGAAAATGGTTCTTTAAAAAAAAAAAAAAAGAAAAGAAAATCCAAACCTGCAGGATTGCCCAAACAAGAAAGTAAAGCTCTAAGTGCACCAGTGCACAATGATTGTTTCCTTTTTAAACTTTGAAACATGCAGCTATTGGCCCTTAAAGGAAATGGCAGTGATTTCAACCCTGTAGGTGGTCAAAATATTTGATTTCAACAATTTCCTATTCCTCCTGCAGTGACGACACTTTGTAATGATGTGTGCCAGCATAGGGAAGGCTGCAGTTTACTTTTTCACAAAAACAACTTAGTATTTTGGAAAAATACTGTCAATGTCATGGCTCACACATGAAAGAGGCTCTGCTATAGATCCTGCTGAACCGTTTGCTTGATAAATCCAAGCTGATCAAGTTACAGCAGAAAAGCTGTAGCACATTTGGCCAGCCCATTGTATTTAATATTCTGTTTTTCTATCACTCCCATTGTCAGTTTCTCGAAGAACTTCATCTTTGCTTCTTAATGAAACTATCCTCTCGCTCGTATTACTTCTGTTATATGATATTCTTATTACTGTCCCATTATCTTTACTCCTATCTGTAAATGTGGTGCTGTAGGCCAGCTAATACATTTCCTACTCATCTCTGCTGTGCTCAACAAAGGATGACTCAAAGTTGAAGTAAAAATAAACTCTGTTGAAAAGAGCTTCCAAAGAGACAGTCATGTTCAGTCCTCTCTGATATGCTGAACCTGATTTATTCACATATACAATGATGCTAAAGTCAACAGTGAATGAACATCTGTAAGTCAACAAGCGAATGAATATCTCTAAGTCAACAAGTGAATGAATATACAGACTTTGCAGATAATTGAGATATGATACAGTTCTGGCTTTCCACCTGTATACAACCTCTACCTTTCCTCTACCTTTATGCTCCGCTCTGTATTTACTCCAGCCAACTCTTGAGTCATAGCCTGGAGTATTCTTTTGGACAGGTGAATAAAGATCAAATTGTATGCCCTTAATTCCTCTCATTATTCTTTCACTGAATCAATAAAAGGCATCACTGCTATTCTTTTTTATTTTTCTTCTAATATATTGGCAATGTGGTATTGACCTTTTACTTAAAAAGACAGGTGGAGAGAGGGACAGAATGGAATACATACTGTAGAAGTTAATCCAAGTATAATTTAGAAGCCAGAACTATTGAAATACATGTGTATTGTCGCTTGCCTGGTATTTTCAAATACGCTAATATAAACTGCCCAAGCAGTTTATTCTGGGTACAAAATAGTGTTTGGACTCCATAAGGAAAATGATCATGGCCTCTGTTTGGAGAGCTAGTTTTAAATTAAGTTTTTAAAACTGCATGCTTTGACATGAAAGGTTTCTCTGTGAAAAAGAAAGGATTGGGGTAGCTCATTCCTAAAGTCAGTGTTCCTCACACCAACTGTTCATGTC